AAGGTGAAATGAATTTAACTTGGGAGAAGCAGTTAAAGAGCGTTTAGTAATGGCCCTCGGATACATCTAGTGCCATAGATATTTGTGTTTGGGGATTTTTCATTGAAGGAATAATGTAGAAAAATATAGATTTAAGAGGAACAGGGTCCATGAAAGGAACTAGTGTGTATTTAGGGCATAGGGCAAACTGTGTAGGGTAAGGCTATGGAATCCTCTCCTTCAGTAAATTCAAGAATAGTTTCTAGAGACGTGTCTAGGATAGTGATATAGCGCAATCTACAACTAGGAAAATGGACAAAATTCCTCTGAAGTTGCCTTCAACCTCATAATTTTAGATTAAAAATCAGATGAATACAGATTTAAGATAAAGTTTTTACTGGGCACACACACTTTTGTTATTTTTTAATCATTAAAAATCTGAAGCCTTTAGCTTGAATAAGACTCTAGATGTTTATTTTTAATGTTTTCTCTACCTACTTAAATATCCAGCAGTATGGCTATTAGTGAAATAAGTTAGAGTATAACCAAGCAATCGAATCCCATGTGATTGTTAGAAGTATGTGGTAGCAATTTTAATGACATATCAAAGTGTTTATGATATATTATCAAATGAAGAGAAAACAAACTATAAAGTGTGTTAATTTAAGTGTATACTTAAATATTCATGTATAAAAACAACTGAGAGAGCATACACAAAATATTAACAGTGATTTCATGTTGGTAGTGAGTTAATTGGTGACTTTCATCTCTACCTCTAGCTTTCTTTACATTTTTCTAACGTGAACCTATTGTATACACAGTACTAGAAAGAATTGTTGACATCACACACACACACACACACACACACACACACAATTTTATGCAAAGGTTTTAAAATCTGTAAATAAATTAATAATGTTATATACAGGAAAATTTAAGTGACACATATGTTGGCAGTGATCTGTCATTCTGCCCAGCACTGGGGATAAAAATGACTCTTCATGTAACTTCTTGTTATGCTAAAAATAATCATGTACAGGCTACCAGAGTTCCTTTAGACCCTGCCTAAAACAGTCTATTCAGAAGGCACATGGAAAACGCACATCTAAGCATATGGTACCATGTATAAAAGTGGAGCTAATAATCCTAACTAGTTTACGAGGTTCTTAGAGTTCTAAGTAAAAGAAAACTTTTTAAAGGTCTTAGCACAGTGCCCAGAACATAGAAAACACCCAATAAATACTATCTTGGTGGTTATCCTCTTACAAGCTAAAAAATAGAAAAATTCTACAGAAAAAGGTGGTTGTTGATCTAAGAACTATTCATCAGCCACCTGGCAACATACTTCATTTCAAAATGGCCTTACACTTAACACAGGTATCCAAAGGGATCACTGCCGTACTCTAACTGTACAGTTCATTTCATTCTCCATATTTATCAAAGTTTTAATGTGTAACATGAACAGGAAACAAAGCCATGATATAATTCAATTTTTCTTTTCTCATTTTATTTATGTTTATATTATCAAACATGATTTAAATATGAACAAAATGTTAGGATATTATAATTACATTATTATTTATGTGTCCATTTATTTATGCTTTGTGGCATTGGTGATTAAACCTATAGCCTTGAACGTGCTAGACAAGCTACATCCCCAGCCATTTTTAGAAATTTTATTTTGGATCAGGCTGGTTCTAACTTGGACATCTCCTGCTTTAGGCTCTTAAGTAGCTGGAATCACAGCCCATACCATAATACTCAGGTTGAATTTTTAAATTTTTGTTTGTGATCAGAGACACAGCTTAGATTTAGGCATTCCCTTTATTATTATGAAAACAAAAAGCACATGTAAAATTGTTCTGTGACAATATCATCACTCACTTAGAGACCTACACATGTGTTTGGTTACATTTCCATTCTCTACATCTAGTGAAATTTGAATGTTTAAATGTTGAGCATTGTAAGGGGTCACATTTCTCATGGAGGACACATTAACATAATGAGCTCAAATAATATGGCTTGGATCTGGTACCACATTTCAGGATAAAGAATAAATGCCTCAGTAAAAGAGCTGTAGTCATAACTGATAAGAAAGTGGTTCAAAATATGAGGGAGGTTGTAAACACTTAAACTTATTTGCCTCTCATTCTAATTGAGAGCAGAAGTAATTATTTGGGGGAGCAAAAAATCTAGATGACTTGATGGCAAATGTTGAAGGTTAGATATCTCTACCAAATGTAGCCATTACTAAAATGCAAATAGGGGCTGTACCTCACTTATCAACCTGACCTTTTCTTTCTCACCTTCTGACCATCTTTTCAGAGGACTCTGTATGTTTCTCTCCAGGACCATTGATAATTAATGTCTTTTGGGGTCCACGTTCCTAACTATTCAGGCTGCTTCTGCTTCATCAGGAAGAAAAATTATCCTGGGTGATACATGCAAGTCTTACCCAGCCTCATCTAGCTTGTTTTGCAGATAACAGGTTTATTTGGAGCCAAAGAGCAAGAAAATGTGGAAGAGACATACAGGAGATGAGGTGGTTCAATATGGCAGCATTATTCACTACATATTCGGGTAAACTATTTTCTCCAAAGATGACAACTTCCTGTGTTTCCCTGCACATGTTCAGTGTGACTTGAAAACTTTATCAAAATTTCTCATTTTAAATATTAACTTTTATATTTATATGTTTCTAACATGTGCTTTAAAAATAGTTAATTTTATGTAAATATATCCCTTTCTCTTGAGTAGAAAGAACCAATATAGTGAAAATGGCCATGCTTCCAAAACTGTTATACAGATTTAATGCAATTCTGATCAAAATTCCAATAGTATATCTCAAAGAATTAGAGAAAACAATCCTAAAAGTCATTTGGAATCAGAAGAGACCTAGAATAGTAAAGGCAATTCTGAGCAACAAAGGCAAGGCAAGGGCCATCACAATCCCTGACTTGAAATTATACTATAAAGCTACTGTGATAAAAACAGCACGGTACTGGCAAAAAGACAGACCCAAAGATCAATGGAACAGATTAGAAGATGCAGAAACAACTCCAGACATAGTCAGCCACTTTATCTTTGACAAAGGTGCCAAACATTCCCTGGAAGAAAGATAACCTCTTCAGTAAATGGTGCTGGAAAAACTGGCTCTGCACATGCTGAAGATTAAAATTGGACCTGTATTTTTCACCATACACTAAACTAAATTCAAAATGGACCAAAGATATAAATATTAAAACAGAAACATTAAATCTGCTGGAAGACAGAATAGATAAAACTCTTGAAGACACTGGTATAGGCAAAGACTTTATGAATAAAACCCCAGTTACATAGGAACTGTCACAAAGAATCAATGACTTGGATCTCATCTTATTAAAAAGATTTGCACGGCCAGAGAAACCACCAACAGAGTGAAGAGACAAACCATAATCTGGGAAAAAATGTTTGCCAGCTGTTCCTCAGACAAAGGATTACTACTGAGAATGTATAAAGAAATGAAAAAAATCAGACCTCCCACATTTAAAGACTCAATTCAAAAATGATTATCTAAGATGAATACATGCTTCTCAGATAAAGAAATACAAATAGGAAATAAATACATAAAAAATGTTTAACATCACTGGCCATTCAAGACATGCAAATTCAAACAACACAGAGATTCCATCTCACCCCAGAAAGAATGGCTATTATCAAGAAATCAACCACTAACGAATGCTAGTGGGGCCATGGGGAAAAAGGAGCCCCCCTCCACTGTTGGAGGGTGGTGTAGACTAGTGCAACCACTGTGAAAATCAATGTGGAGACTCCTCAAAAAACTAGGATTGGCTGTCCCATTTTACCCAGCTATTCCTCCTCTGGGTATCTTCCCAGAAAAATTAAAAACATCATACCACAGCGATATATGTGGACCCATGTTCATAGCACCACAATTTCTAATAGCTCGATGCTGGAAACAACCAAAATGCCCATCAGCTGAAGAATGGATAAAAAAGATGTGGTCTTTTTGTACAATGGAGCACTACTCAGCTGCAATGAAGGATAAACTGGGGACTTTTATAGGTAAATTAATGCAACTCAAGACCATACTCACAAGTGAAATAAACCAGACACACGTGTAAACATGGTATTGTCTCCCTAGTGTGAGAAGCTGAAAGAGTAAATAAGATCCAAAATGTACAATAAATATTGTAAAATGGCAAGAAACTTCAAAAGAAAGAAAAACTGGGATGGGAAAAAGGAGAAAAGAAGAAAGTGAAAAGCAAAAAAAAAAAATATGATTGTGATACTATTAGTTTCTCTCAGTTCATTGGAAAGAAAGTTTTGTGCTAACATTTTTTGGACAATTAAATGCCGATACCCTGTACTCTGAGTAACTAATTTAAAGATAACAATACTCAATGTATTAACGATTGTTACTCTCCCATTATCTTGTTTTGAAATTTTTTTCTTTAACCTAAAAAAATAGTTAATTTTAAAACGAAACAAAACAACAACAATAAAAACACCCCAAGAGAATTCAAGGTAAATTCAAAGGAAAAAGGACAAGCACCTGTGAAGAACTGTCCCACGTGGAGCTAATTTATATCTGACTGCATAGTGTTCTGTGTTTATATTCCCGGTAGCAGATTATTCTTGTGGATAAGTAAATGATGTCTCTTTCTCTTCCCCAGGGGAAATGACATGACTCTAGAGTTGGAAACTGGACAGCATTTACCAACATGAGGCAAAATAGGTAAAAAGAGATGGATTTCCACTCTGGAAGATTTGTCGAAGAACAGGTATCTCAGGCAAATGAAAGAACTCACTTGGACCTGTAAGGCGAAAAGAGGCTTCCAGAGAACTGTGCTTTGTGGTGGATGGACTTTCCCAGGCAAGAAATCTGAATGGTGAGGGGCAAACCAGGTGACCGGCCCAGGGTTCACTTTCTTCATCAGTAAAATCTTAACCTAGTCCAGCAGCAGCTATAATAGGTACAAGTTGAAATGAGCCTGTGTTCGCCAACCTTGATGAATTTTTAAAAACTAAATTATGTGACTAACTGGAAGCCTTAAAATGAAAGGAAAGAACCCAGTCTTGCTTCCTGAGGTCAAAATGTCTGAGAATTCTGTTGTCTCCAAGGACAAACTGCAAGGAGATAAAGACATCTGAGATCACATGGCTGGCACTTCCACTCTGAGACTGCAATGTAAGGTCAGGAAAAAGAATATTCTCTTCAGAAACATGTATGTTAAAATAGAAACATCTTGTCTTCATTTTAGTCCAAAAGTAAATAGATGAATTAAATGTCAAAGATGTCCATTTTAACTTGAACTCCTCTGTACATAATCTAATGTAGTGAGTACTAAAAATCTGCTCAAAGTACATGACTGAATATTCTCTATACAGTGTGTAGGTGTTAAGTAAATGCCATCATGAATTTATTATAAGATACTTTTTCACATCTTAACATCTCTGAGATGTGGATAAAATTTAAAATAAATGGCATGTCATGCTTTAATTAGTAGCATTTTTTTTTCTTAGCACCACTTAAAATAACGGTACAACCCATTATGGTGTCTTAGATTTGATGAAATATTTTGTCAAATGATGACACATAAGCTGAACTATTCAACACAGTTTAAAATCAAAACTCTACAGTCCAGAGCACCTCATAGATGTTTTCATATTTATGAGTTACCTCAAGAGTAATCTGGAAAAACGCTAAACACATCCAAGAAGGTCTAGTCTTGGGAACAAACATAAGAAGGATTGTCAGGAGAAAGTTGGTAGGAAAGACATTAGTGGTGACCTCAGCTAGGTGTCTCCTGCTTTACTGTCTAAACTCCTAATCTGGATCTAGTCAGTTTCAGCTTTTCCCACTGTGATGGTGATCCCTGACTGATACACTACAGCCCGTGGAAAAGATTCATTTGAATAATGTTCAGAACAATAGGTACTTTTTTTTCTAAATATTTATGCAAGGTTTGACGGTGGAAGACCTCTTATACTTTAAAGATGCTCATACAAATTCACTATAGATTTTTTTTAAATGTTTAATTGGAGCATTTCTGTCATCCTATATATATATCACCTTCCATTGGCACTGAAGTACCAGTTCTTCAATAAAGGCTTTGGAGGTCTTAAGAGACCAAAGTAGACAATTAGTCAGTGGTATAGAAGATTAAAATCAACAACATACTGCACTGGTTTAAAAAGATGAATGTATGCATGTGTATAGATGGATAGATAAGGAAGGGTATATCAAAAGTGGTTATTTTTGCATGGAAACCATCAGAGCTGTTCCCATCTGTATTTCTAAACTTTGCCACAATCAACACATATTGAATTTGCAGTAATTAATAAAGCAATACAAGTTCGAGTCTACAATTAAGCAGTGAGTACCTATTATACAGTGCAGCTGCTATTGTTAAGGATGTATCTTTAAGAATGCATTTGCTTACAAATACATGAGAAAATGTTCAACATCATTAGTCATTCAAGAAATGCAAATTCAAACGACATTGAGATTCCACCTTACCCCCGTAAGAATGGCTAGCATTAAGAAATCAACCAATAACAAATGCTGGCAAGGCTATGGAGAAATAGGAACCCTTCTCCACTGCTGGTGGGAATGCAGACTGGTGAAACCACTGTGGAAATCAGTTTGGAGATTCCTCCGAAAACTAGGTCTAGAGGTCCCATTCAACCCAGCTATTCCCCTTCTGGGTATTTTCCCAGAAGATCTAAAAACATCATATCAAAGTGATATATGTGCACCTATGTTCATAGCAGCACAATTTGTAATTGCTAAATTGTGGAAGCAACCCAAATGTCCATCCACCAAGGACTGGATAAGAAAATTGTGGTACTTTTATATAATGGAATATTACTCAGCTATAAAGAAAGATAAACTTGAGGCCTTTAGAGGGAAATGGTCACAACTAGAGACCATACTCCTAAGTGAAACAAATCAGACCTGCATGTGCAAGCACCACATCGTCTCACTAGTGTAAAACCTGAAAGAGTTAATTTAAACTAGGAGGTATGATAGACATTGTGAAGTGATAGGAAAACACTCAAGGTTAAAGGGCAACTGGGATATGGGAAAAGAGAAGGGAAAGAAGGAGAAATTTTGTATGTATGTATATACAGGATAGTTAACATAGTTGTTCTATTTCTTTGTTGAAAGAAACTGTCAATGAGTCCTTGACTGATCAATATTGCATGTCTCTATCTGTTTTCATGAGAAACCACTTTGAAGATATCAATATGTAATACAACAAGCATTTTTAATTTCCTACCACTTTGTCTGTAACTCTGTATTGTCTGTACTGTTCTTTTGCTATTTTGTAAAAGGTTGTCTGTCTGTTAATGTTTTCCTCCTTTTATTTTTAAAATAAAAAAGAATGCATTTGCTTAATAATTTCTTCCTTCAAAGTTGGAGGCACTGTCCAATACAGCCACAAAGACCAATTTAGAATTAGCCGTACATGAGGCAGCGGCGGCCCCTAAGCTGATGTAGAATGAGTCATTCTGCCCCCTGTGTTCGTAGGGATGGAGGCTTTGCACGTTTCTGTGCTGCCAGTGTGTGCACACACATGTAATCTGCCTTCCAGCCAGGCCACACAAGGGAACAATTCAGTGAAAAGCATAATTTTCTTGATCAGGATTTCGTTCAAAATGCTGGAGCTGAAAAGTCTTTTATCTGATGTTACTTCAACCCTTTAAAGCATAAAAACCCCTTCAGTACAATACAGGCCTCTTACTGCAACACATTTGTGCCAAATTAAAAATACTGGTAAGTGCTTTGTGAAAATAAATGGTAAACAAAATAGCCTCCTTTGCTTAACTGTTAGCACAGTTTTCAGATGCTGTGTCTCCCTTACCACATATTGAGTAGAAAATTATATTTCTGCTTTTGTACATTATTCATACATGAAAGTATATTTTTCAGGTTCCTTGTGTTCTTGAATCATGTTATTAGCATTTATTGAAATATTCATCTTTCTTTTTTATCTTAGGTGTGTATAATCTCATCAAGTTTGCAGGAAAAACAGATACCCTTATGGTCTGAACTGGTGTTTGAAGAGATAAACTCATCATTAATCCGTACCTAATAATATTACATTATTGTTTAGAAAGAAATAGAAGGCTGAGTCTTCTAAATTTTAATATCTCTGTCATTGAATAACAACTAAATTATCCTATTGACAAACAGTAGGGTTCATATCAAACTTAAGACGGTATCTACTTTGTCTATTTTTGCCAACTAGGAACACAGGAAAACACCACGGCCGGCATTTCACTGGCTTTAGGAGCCTGTATGCAACAATCTCCTCCTCACACGCTGCTCAGAAAGCATTTCTTCCCAGCAATTTCACAAGGAGAACAAAAGGGACTCAGATGGAGAATTTGTGAGCTTGGACAACAGGACCTCTCTAAGCCTGCCAGGTAAGCAAGGATAACTTCCTCCTTGCAGGGTGGTTTTAACTGTACAATAGGCTGATGTAGTTAGGTGAAAAGTTTATAATGGCCACATAGGGGTTAGCATTACTGAACCTATATTAACATGGGGCACACTAGCTCAGACCTCATTAAAGCCAGTGTTTCAGAGCTTTAGTGGTGGGGTAGCCATCACTGGGAGAAGAGTATTCAGGGAACAAGTTGAACATTGTTGGCCCTGGCATTCGAAAACAACTGTCAGAGCTTTCTGGGTTGCAGTGCCCACCTCATTCATTCAAGATAAGAGGAATGTTCTGTCTCCCAGCAAAGGACTCCCCTTGGAACCAAGGTGTCTGCCGCTGCTCATGTCATCAGTTCTGGTACCAGCAAATGTGGGAGTTTTCACAGAAAGCAAAAGGCTAGCATTCTGTTAAGGGAGCCCAGGGAAGCTCTCTCAACTGGGGCTTGAGATGAGTAGTGGGCTGTGATGTAAATAAGAGGAGCTAACAAAATAATACCACACCGAAGCTGGCCGGGTGAATCCCAGATAGACTATTTCTGACTCCTGTTATCACAGCAGTCTGTGCCCGGGGAAGACAGTCCATGCAGATGGGTACCTCTGTGGTCCTGGGGTAGGAAGATGCTTGGTGTCTGAAGACCTCTGCTCTACTTTCTGCTAGCAGAGATTCTGCTGCCACTCTCTTCTTTTGTGGCAACAGAGACAAAAAAAGGGAATTTTCCTGAGCAGTGTGAGTGACAAAGAAATGAGGCAAATTATGGAGAAACCGATGGGCATTCACTGAAGAGCAACGCATATGATTTTTAAGTCTGAAGGGACCACCTTCAGAGAGAAGATAAAAGACGAGTCTCCCGGCATGAGCGCCCAGCCCTAATGCATGGGACTGGCTCGTTGGCCGCAAGTACTTGAAGGGTGGAAAGAGCAGGAGTGGAGAGATAGTATTTTGCGCTGTCCAAGGGGATGGCAGGAGGAGTGATGGGAAAGAAAGACAAAATAAAGATGATTTAGGCGGCTGAGGGGGTCGCATGTCCTAATGTAGAGATCGGTGACAGACTGTGCAGCGCTGTCCCCCAGGAAGGCTGGAAGCCCTTCACTTCTGCCATTTGCAATTGGAAAACACTAAAAAGGAGCTGGACATATCAGAGAGGGAAAACCGCTACGTGTCCTGCGAGAACCAGTGGGGTGACTTAATCGGTCCTTTCTGTCTCAAATGACTGCGACGTGGCTTGTGTGCATGGGGACCTGAGCTGCTAGAATCACTTTTCCATCATTCAGGCTTTTTCACTGTTACCATGAGCACAGCGCAGAAGGGATAATAGGTCATGCAAAGCAGCGTCTGCGCTGTAAACAGAAGCCTTCAGTGTACTGATGCTTTAGTGCAAAGGCAGAAGTGACCAGGATAAGTTTCCCATTGTGATGTCAGTGTAAATAAACACGCATCCTGACAGAAACCCCAAACAACGTACTCACATCGACGGGGACTCGAGACCAAGGGAAGGAGCTTGGTGGCATTCCATCGGTGGCTGATGTCTAAGCAAAAAGTCAAGTAGTTCTCTAATGTACAAAAATAGACACCCAAACACTTAAGTTCTATCTTTAAAAAAAAAAAAAAAGAAAAAACTATTTGGCCTTTAAAAACTATCAAGAAACAACTGCTGCGTAGAAACTTTAGGACCCGTATATTGAATGTGTTTCTGCTGTAATTCTACCCGCAGCTTCGGTGGTGATTCATAGCTGACACATTCTGAAACCCAAGGTGGTCCAGAAGGGCACATGTAGGCATGAAGCTGTGCCAGCCGGAGGTCACAACTGTAGCTAACAGGAAAGGGCACAGGTTGGTCAGATGGAAACTGGGTCAGGCAGAGGGGCTAGTGTTACTGCGATTGCTAGAAGCAGCACAGCTGTGACCATCACACCCTCTCTCAGCCAGAAGATGACACAGATGCGGGGAACAAAATGTTAAGAGGGTGCTGGGGAAGGGAGGGGGCGGGGAGAGGCGGTGAGAAGTAAAGCAAAGGCATCTAGAGTGGGGAAACCCACAGATGCAAGCTTGCAGGTGGAGGATATCTCGGTTCCTAATATAAATACTGTATGTGGTGGGCAGTAAGTTAAACTTGGTGTTCTGGAAGACTGACGTTTGCTACAAACACATTCAGGGGTTGACCTACGCCAGACAGATATAGGTCAACCCTCATCCTGCTGCTCTCAGCAGCTGTGACCAATGGGAAACAGAGCTGCCCAGCACGCTGGTTTAAGCTGCTGCTAATGGAAATCAACCTAACCCCATTTCCTGCCCTCTCCGGTCCTCGCTTGTCTGCTCAAGACCATTTAGGCGCAGGCTGAGCCGCCAGCTTGCTGTAACTGCTGGAAGACTGATGAATAGACTCTGTTGGTGGCATGTATATTCCCATCTCTTTTAGGTGAAAGATGTGTTTCTCAGCCTTTAAAAGGAGGCTTAAAATACAATACTCCTTCACTAACCTAAGTGTCATCCTAAATTCGTACAGCCAGAGAGACTTGACCTGTTCTTGCCACCTCAGCAAAAATGGTAGAGATGCTTAGAAAGAAGGGGAATCCCGGCAGAGGCCTGCGTTCAGAAAGGACACAACAGAGGTTAAGGGACTGATCCGCGGTTACTCAGAGAGGAGATGTTAAGGCCGAGAATTAAGGGAGTGGTCTGAGAACCAATAGGGGAAATTGTGAAATTAAACCTGAAGAAAGAACATCACCACTGAATCATACTGATTAATTACCCACTGGAAATTTATTAATTTACCCACGTATCTTTACTCTAGGTGTTCAGACTAGTCTGAAGGGTTCTGGTATTTTCCTGTGCTCATTTTTTTTTTTTTTTTTAAATGCCCAGCCCCTTCTCCTCAATAAATAAGACAGTAAGCCTGGGTAAATGTGGTCATGTGACCTTGGTTCCTTACTCAGTAGAACAGTAGGCCAGGGTCTATTCAGTTGACTTAAACAGACAAGCAATAAAATGCTAAGTGTTCTGTTATACCTACATGCTTGCTGTGGGATTTTATGCTTTTTTCCTGAATTCTAGACCAGTCAGGCTAAGTTTGAACCCCAGAAGCATAGAATATTTGATTCAGATATTTTCTTTTCATTAACTTAAGAGGACAAAGGAATCCCCAGTTAACTTTTGTAAAACTCAAGCTTCAGGAGGACATTCTGGACTGGAAGTTACACATGTTTTGAAATAAAAAAGGTTACTTCATGTTCTTTGTGTTTAAATAAATGTAATTACACTTGTTACAGAAAATTTGGAAAACACTGAAAAAATCACCTATAAACATAACTCCTGATGATAACCACATGAACATTTTTGTGTTTCCTTCTAATTTCTACACACACACGCGCGCGCGCACACACACACACACACGTTTTCCAAGATTTGCTATAAATGTTTTGAAGATTTTTCATGCATTGCCAAATTGCCCTCCAGGAAGGCTAGACCAACTTACAACCCATTTTCAGTGCATAGTATAATTTTTTGAGGGCAAACTTTAAATTTGAGCATTGAAAATGCCTCAGTGCTCTTTATTTTTTGTATCTTCTTCCCTCTTGAAGTTCCCCATTTCTCCCTTATGATTTTGGACAGTTATAGTGAGCACTAAATTTAACCCTTCATTGACAATGTGGTGTCTAGAATTGACCCCAGCTCTAAGGAAGGGTCCTGATTGGCATAGAATGTTAGTCTGATCATAGAATGGATCCTGATTACCAAGAATGGTAATCCAATCTCTCGAGCTAGTGAAGGGTTCAAAACCAGAACATAGCATTCCTCTGACAGGAGATTTGATCCAGATTGGCCCTAAATTGAGTTGAAAGCCTGATAATTACTTGCATTCATTTCTAGGAAAGCGACGCTCCTTCGATGAATGCAAACACAGTTCCTATCCTATTGTATTAGAGTGGTCAATGGATATTGCTTTATCATACATTTTCATACCTATTAGAGCAAATCTGATCTCTAATTAGCAATTTTCAGAATTCTATTATCAATAACCTCATGTATTCTTCCAAATGAACTTCAGACCCATTTTGTTAATTTTAAAGAATCCATTGGGATTTTATTTGGGATTGTTTTAATCTCATAGATACAATATGGAAGAATTTAACTTTATTATGTTTAGTCGTTTTAGCCAGAAACTCATTACACACACACACACACACACATACACTCTCTCTCTCATATACACACACACTCTCTCATACACACACTCTCTCTCTCATACACACACACACTCTCTCTCTCTCATACACACATACACACACAAACACACACACACACAGGGTCTCTGTCTTCATTAGTTTATATCCTAGTACAGAACTTAGGTCAGATACTAACTGAAAAGCCAAACAATGTGAGCTGCTAGGGTATAGATTGTATAAGGGGATGGTACATGATATCTGAGAGCTTTAATAGGATACTTAGATTTAATTAGGAAAGTCAGGGGAAGCTTCCTTGAGTAGGTAGTAATGGAACTGTGAATGATAAGAAGGAGTTAAGTAAGTGGCCAAGAGCAACATAAGCAATGGAAACCACAGGTACAAAGGGGCTGCCCAGATATAAGCACAGAAAATATGAAGGACTGAAAAAATGTAAATATATCCCAGATCCTGAGAGAAGCTTGATTTAATAAGAGGGAACTAGAAAGCTTGGGAGACGAGGGGATGGAGCTGAGGGATGCTGACCTTGCTGGACCAACCAATCCAGGATAAAGAGTTGTGTCTCCTTTCTATAATCCATCACAAACCACTAAATGCATCACTTTTGACAACCACATTACCTTTACCCACAATGTCCAATCCAGCACCAAGACCCATGGACTGTTTTCTACACATTTCTTCCATCTATCTGCTTCAGTCCATCCCTTCATCTCTTCATCTTTACCAACACTACTTTAGTTCATTATCACTTCCACCAAGGCAGCATCCTCTATGTACCTACTCCTGCCTCACCCCAGTCTATTCC